TTTGTGGGGTCTAATGATTGAAGCAAATAATCAATTACTTGAAAAACACAACATTTACTATATATTAAAAATATTATCTAATAAATTTGACAGCAAGAGGCTTTGACTTCAATTGACTCACTCCACATAAGAAATTGAAAGCTTGGTTGGAAAGAGTGTGGTGCCATTTTTTATTATTGTCTATCTACGTGACACTTTTGACATCTTATTTAAAGATGGTCTTACAAAAAAAGATTCTCCTCAATTTATAATAAATAAAGACACGAGACATAACACACAAACTCCCATTGTCGCACCCCTTTAGTATAATGAGCCACAACATCACCAACATGCTTAAAAAAAGGCCTTTAACGAAAAGCTTCCGGTACTGTTCACTTTAATGAAAAACCACATTTTTACATTAAAAAGTCAATCCTGCTACTATTCACTTTTCCCTTTATTTTGTCCTTATCATTAAGACTCAAAGTTTTCAAGCAATTTTTATTAGTTTTCCTTAAAAAAAGAATTGTTCAAGCTTTGGATCTCTTTCATCAAGGCCACCAGATCAAGTGATTAGGGCCCTTGAAACTTGATCCAATGACTAAAAATAAAGGCTCCCTTTAAAAGTTATAATAATTTTAGTCGTTGAATCAACTTTCAAAAATCCGGATCACTTTTAAATTTTGAAAAATAATAATTTTATCCACAAATTGAAAATTAAAAAGGATAATACTAATCAACATGCACACGTCAATCCATGATGATGTCCCAAATAGCAGTGCGCCTCCGACACAAACCACTCCCAACGAATGAGTATTTTCGGTGGCTACTTTCTCATTCAACGCTGAATATTTAACACGCACCACCACCAAGCTTTCTTTCCCCATACACATCGCACCCTCAGAAAACTTTCTGAGACCCCAAAGCTTTGGTGGATTCTTTTTCCTATACCAAATTTAATCTTGGGGTTTCTCTTGGTTCCAGTCCTTCGCATCCCGAACCACCGCAAACCGCTTTTCCCCGCCGATCAACCGCCACCTCCTCCATCTCTCCCTTCCGGCAAAATCCAAATCCAGGTTATCACTTGCCCTTTCTGCTTTTTTATTCTTGAAATCTTTGTGTTCATCGATCTGCTAATTTCGGAGCGAACCCACATTAATTTTTCATCATTACTTCTCGACTACTGTTTTTTTTCGATCTTGATTTGATTAAACCATCCAGAATTAACACATAAATCAAATATTCATGTAATTTTTTTTTTTGTTTATGGTTGTTTTTCGATTTAATTTTTCTGATAAATATTGGGTGTTGTAGGTGAAGTTTGGATTTTTGGGTTGGGAATAGAAGATGGGGGCATTCATTTCCAGGTTTTGGTTCATGTTGTTTCCTGCAAAAGAGTATAAGATAGTGGTGGTTGGGTTGGATAATGCTGGGAAAACCACTACCCTTTACAAATTACACTTGGGAGAGGTTGTCACCACAAACCCTACTGTAGGCAGCAACGTTGAAGAGCTTGTCTACAAGAACATTCGATTCGAGGTACCTTAACCATTCCCATCTCTATCGCTCTTCTATGTTATGCTTTTGTTTATTTCGTTAACGGAAAGTTATCCATTTTAGGATGGATGAGTTTCTTGATCAAGTTAGGGCATTCTTGTGTGTGGTCGAGCTGTCGAGGGGTCCTATTTATCTATGTTTATTGGATTCTTCTTGTTTTCTAACAACCTTTTTTGCTAGACTTTCTAATGTTTGGAAATTGATTTGAATTTCTCAGTTTCCTTTTTTGTTCTTCTGGTAGATATTTCAAGATAGCTATGCAGTTGATTGGGGTGTTTAAAGAAATCATCTTTCCCAATTGTTTTGTTTCTTAATAGTGCACATAGGTTTTCTCTCTCTCTTCTATTTTGTTGGCATCCAAATTGTCTTTTTGGCTGTTGAGGTTATGTCAACCTCGCTAATAGCAAGCATGAGGTTTCAAGTGACAAAATTGAGCATCTAGATGTATCTGTTACTTTCCCTCTATTGCTTGCAATGCCTCTACTGCTATTGACAATCCTGTCCATGGAAATGCCTATGACAGTAATCCCACCCAGCAAACTCATATAGTTAATGGTCGTTTGATAATTCACTGTAGTTTATGGGGAGGAAATTGTTGGGTGAAGTTGTTTCTTTTAAGATTGCTGGTGCTGTATTGGGGTATTCACAGCAGTATGAGCTTTTTGCCTTTTTCACAAATCTTATCTGAAGCATAATAGTAGTAGGCTTTTCCCGGTAACTTTCAAAGTTGATTATCTGTTCTAATAATCAAGAGTAATATTTTGTTTTGGTTGATGGAAATTTTGTAACCATAAGCACACAATACGTTGAAGTATTTCGCATCAAGTACTTTATTAGGCAGTATACCGTGCTTGATGCGATTAGACGAAAGGTTAAGAGTTAACCGGAAACACACTATTTTTTCATATTCTCTAAAATCCTCTCACAGTTTGGAGGTGTTTCCCATGAGAGTACTTGACTTTAAGTGCTTGAACATTCTTTTGTGGGAAGATGATAAGAGTTGGTTTAAGTTTTAGTTTAATATATTCCTGGTCTTTATATAAGATAATCATTCATTCCGTTAGGATTCCTAGTGTGCTGATGTGGCACACATATAGGGGCTATAAGTCCAATAATATGGTGCCATGTGGATTACACCAAAGTAATTTTTTTTTTAAATTATAAAATCTGTAAAAGAAAAGAGAAAACAAAATAAAAATCTCTCTCTCCTCCCTCACTTCTATCTATTCGTACCCAGCTCACCTCAATGTCCACCAACCTCTCCAGGTCTAAATCGCTCCTCAAGTTTCTTCTTTGAAAGAACTTTCAATCTTGGTTTGCTGTGGGGAAGACTGGGAAGTCGTTGACCCTAGTTGGGAACATGATTTTCTGCAGAGAAGGATTCTGCTGTAGAATTGTGTATGGAGAGTCTCGGTTTATCCAGAATCGGAACCAGGGATTGGGATTTTGGCTAGCAATGGAAGAAAACTGAAGAAACCTTTCCCCGACTCTCTATTGCTTCCCTAGCATCGCCCCTAGGACTACTGACGACCTTGTCTTCCTACAGATTGGAGGTTGCAACCTCTTGACGACTTTTAATAGTAGGCTCCAGCAGTGAGTGCAGGGGATCAGGGTGGGGTTAAATTAGATTAGAATACACATTTTTTTGCCCTACGAGTTAACGGGTTCAAATTAGAATAATAATTTGTAATTTATAATGAGAATTTATTGGTTTAACTTTAACATTTGGGGCTGCGATAAAGGAGGAGCAGCTATAATTTGTGGCGAGGTGTGTTGTTGGCTGTGATGGAGGAGTTTGGTGGAGAAAGATGACCAGAATTCATTTGGATTTATTTAATCTTATTTTACATTCTTTTGATACTTTCTTGTTTTTTGTTTTGTTTTGTGGATTTTATGATTTAAAAAAAAATCAATTAATTTGGTATAATCCACATGGCACCATATTATTGGACTTGTGGGCCCTATATGTGTGCCACATCAGCACACTAACAAAATTGTTAACGGAATCCTAATGGAAGGACCACATGGATGTGTGGCAGTGAAAGTAAGGGACCAAATTGATTGATTTTGAATCTCAGGGACCAAATTGATCGATTAGGTCAATCTCAGGGACTATTTGCGATAAAAACCCTTCATTTATTAAATATGATGAATTTATAAGAGAATGAAGAAAGTAATGTCATAACAGTTGTTAGGATTTGGGGTATTTGGAGGAGGTAGATTAAGGGAACATATATTTGGGTTTAATTCTATCTGGCTCGTTTTTCTCATTGTTACTTCTTTTTCAGTGTTATTCGCTTTTATTCTAGTTACTGACTAGAGCCATATATGTGTGTGTGTTTGTGTGTCATCATTTGGACATCTAAAATGGCATAGACTTCGTTTTGTGATATCTGGAGGATGTACTGGTTCTGGAGAGGGAAAATTTAATGGTCCATGTTGTGTTTTTGAAATATGTGCTTAAACATGTCAGGATACATCCAACCATTCAGTAAGCATGAAACTTCAACATTACTTACCGAGCATGATAACTATGTATGGTGATCAACGAAGTGTAGAAATGAATTGAATGTTGTCATTAAAACTTACAAGATAGTGCTTCATGTAAAGTCGTATCCTTGGTCTGTGTATGAGTCTTTTTCATTTGAGCTCATTGAATATTTTGAGCTACAGCATTTAAATGATGCTCTATATCTCAACCCTAAGCTCGATCAAATGTCAGTCGTGCTCTCAGTTTTCTGTTCCGTTGTCATTTTTTCATTTCGTTTTCTCCTTCAAGGCACTGTATCAGTTTAGGTTTATATATTGTTAGATGCAAAGAGCTACAGATGATACCCGCAAATCATGTGAATGACAGGTATGGGATCTTGGGGGACAAGAAAGACTGAGGACTTCATGGGCAACATATTACCGTGGAACTCACGCTATCATTGCGGTTATAGACAGTACAGATAGAGCCAGAATTTCAATAATGAAAGATGAACTGTTCAGGTTGCTGGCACATGAGGATCTTCAACATTCTGTTGTGCTGGTTTTTGCAAATAAGCAAGACCTCAAGGATGCAATGACCCCAGCAGAGATCACCGACACGCTCTCTCTGCACAGCATCAAGAATCATGACTGGCACATCCAAGCCTGTTGTGCCCTCACAGGAGACGGGCTGTACGATGGTCTAGGTTGGATTGCCCAGCACGTTACAGGGAAAGCGCCCACTTGAAGAAAGACAGATTTTTCATGTAAGCGGGGTTTCGAGGCCAGTTGATGATACAGTGTCACAGCTGTGTATCATCAAAGCTATTTGCTCGGAACAAACGTGTAGATCATTTCCAATTTCAAATGCTGGAAAAATATTTTACCTTCTGAATCATTAAGCAGTTCATTAAACAATACGATATGCGTGGAGATTTGTAACGCTCTGCCGATACAGTGAAGCATTTTGATTGAAAAATTGTTACTCTGCACAATCTGCCTCAAATTAAAGGCTCTCGAAATCAAAGTAGTGCCATAAATTGTCATCTGCACAATGTAACGTTATGTAAAATATTTGCGAACAACAGTAGTAACGAAATCTTTGAACTGTCCTAATTGAAGCCTGCGTGCGAATAACAGTAACAAGGAAATCTTTGAAACGTCCCGATTGAAGCCTGTGAACAAAAGACGATGGAAGCCTGGAACTCGGTAAAGACCGTCACAATATCCAGCACCTGCAACCTTTCGAGTCTTGGGGGCCTTCGAACCATCGATCCCAGAATGGATTAAGAGGGCCGTGTGTTCTGTCAATCAAGGGAAATGACAATCAGGGAAATGGGTAAGTTTACGAAACAAAGCAAACACGTAGAATAGAGGTGTTACATTGGGAGTAATGGATCCGGCTTTGTTTCTGCACCCTTCAGTATTCTGGAGTACAAAACGAAAGTCGGTTAGCATAATGGTCACAGTCGAAACTAGGATTCTACAATATTCTAAGTATCTGCCGTGCTTACTCCTTGCACGCAGATGATGCGTTTTCCATCTTTTCAAGTTGCTCCAGTTCTTCCTGCGGAAAAAAATGAGCAGAATAAAATCCATTCATCAGTCTTAATAATGATGTCATGCTGATAAATCATGACAAAGCACACGCGCACGCGCACACGCACGCAACAAGCTGTTGAGTCCCTTTTCTGGGTGCCTTTTGGATTACCAAATCACAGAACCAGAAAATGGAAACTCCTGTCCACCAAAAAGATGAAAACAAATAAAGCAATAACCATGATAAATCTCCAATTCCACATTAAACCTCATGTGAAAAGTGTCCCTAGACGCTGGCCATAAAAATTCAGGGTCGTGCAAGGATGAAACATGTCACTAAATGCTTGACAATGGTGGCTGGTAGCTAAGCAAAAATGTTAACACAATAATGCAAAAGGACACATTTCAAACTTATCTTAACAAGAAATGTTTAACACCGTAGAGTTAATTGACATCCAACTTTTTGCCCAGAACGTTTTGTATGCCTCACTCTTTCCTCAAGGTACCCTACCGACTTGATGGAAGAGTGAGTCACGAAACTCATAAATCTTTAACCTTAGTTGTTTCCCAAGACAGAGGATATGGAGTTGTGTTTCTTTAAAGAAGGTCTGATAAGTTTCAAGAGCACGCGGCATCAATTGAGATATGAAAGTACAATTAGACCACACCTCAAACCAAAACTTGAAAACAACTCCAGACATGACTGTCCCACCATTAGATTTGGTTTCACAAATCTTACATGCAGCATAACATTAGCAACCAGTTTAGCAGCTTTTAGCCCCAGATAATGACACGTCCCACCGATATATAGGTTGGTGGATGCAGTGTTTTAACAATTAAAGTCAATACTCAAAAGAGGTTAAAATATCCAAACACAAATGTAACAAAATTCCTAATTTTCTACTCAGCACACGAGAAGCCATCTTTCAAAACACTCCAAAACCATTTAATTAGCCTGTCATTTATGGCGAACTTTACAGCTGAAAAGTCAAAACTTAGGGCTCAAGGTACTCTTAATGTTAGTAGCTGTGGCCAATTTAACCATTACAAATTCATATTATCAATAAAGCCTCTGGTAACTTTAAAATAGTTTTGGAGATTGCTATTTTCAACTGAATGTTCAGCCGTTTAAGCTCTTTGACTGCAGTTCTTTTCTTGTGCTATGTAGGTCCTTCCAATGTCGTCAAATTTTCAATTTTATTCTAATTTTCAGTTATCAACAATTCGATAGGTCGTTCATTTTCACAATGCAGCATACATTGGAAACCTTATTCTTTCACTTATTTATCCACAACAACCCTGGTTACCTGGTCATCTTGTCAACCTAATGAACTTTGTCTTCACAACTTAAGGACAAGAATCTTGCAAGTGTCTTGCACCACATTTGGCAACAAGAGAATCATCAAAAACATAACTTCAGAGTTTGATGCAGAGGGCTTAAATACGTATACAAACACAAGTCAAAGGAATGAGGAAAGTAGGCCACTGTATAATTAATGCGTAGAGCTCAACGATTCACTTCTCAAGAGTCAAAAGTGAACAAATAAAACTAAAATACACAGCTACACCTCTTAGCAGTAAAAGTTATCATGCTTTCATCACCAACACAACCAATCAATTCTTCAGATGAAACATGTACTCACCCAAGGCATGAGAACTCGACACTAAAGAGTCCCTGACCAATCACGTGTATTACCCCATTATTATTTATTATCTATCTGTTGCGAATCAAATTACCCTTCTGCACATCGGATAATGAACTATAACCGAGACGTCAATCAAACTACGCCTAAGCGCAAACATACATAATAACTCGACCTGACTAAACTAAACGACTAAAAACTCCAACAATTTCTACATTCTGCAAAACATATGGTTACAGAGGAGGTCACATGGCCGCAAACGGAAAACCTGATTAAGAGGGTCACCTTTAATAGAACAACCCTCATAAATTTTGAGTAACAACGAATAAGAGCGTCGCATGGCGGCAATAGGGAAAGCTGAGAATACACACAAAAGGGTGAGCATAAGCTTCCCAAACTCTCACGGTACACTACAGAACTAGGAAACCGAACCTACGGATCGACGAAACAGGACCACAATCTAGCCAAAACAATCAAACCAAACCATTTCAAACTCTACAACCATTTAATCACATTCATCACACATCTAACAATTCCAATAAATGCATTTTTAATATACTTCGAATCCTAGATTCCATCATTGACTCCCTAAACCTTCGAACTCCAAACAAACAGAAAATTCAGTGACCGTACAAATCCAGCAGCTAACTGAATTCAACCTTGAAAATTGGAAATTTTCACCATATGTTGGCACATGCATCCAATCACAATCAGAAACGAAACATAAGACAATCAAAACCCAACAACATAAGACCAACTCAAATCCCAACATCATAGACAAAGTAAAAGAATCACGCTGACCTCTAAGAATCTAGTTTCTTGCTCGAGCCGCTTCAACTCGGCATGTATCCTGTGCTTCCCTCTGGTATCGGCGGCTGACAAAGACTGCAGCCGTTGGGTTGTCGGGCTCAATGTTTCCGACCCATCCGATTGCATCGTATCACAGAACCCACTAAAGCTTCAAACTTTAGAGCAAATACCCAGTTGCAAAAACCAACATATATCACAAAGCAACAATCTGATCATCGCAGAAACGCCATTAGAGCGGAAACCAACGACGACCCAGAAATCTTCATCGACCCCACAGCCAATTTCTCACCAGAAACACGCAAAGGAGCGGATCTAGCAGTGAAAGAGAAAGGGAATGAAATGGGAAAGCAAGAAAGTTTCTTTCTTCTTTGTATGTTTGGTTGTTTGGTTGTTTGGTAGTGGAGGGAGTGTTGGATGAAAGCTTGTTATCTTTTTTCTGTTTTTATAATTTTCTGCGTCTTTTTTGTCTCTCTTTCTCTCTCTGCTTTTTACTTTCTCTCTCTACTTTTGGAGTCCAAGCAGTCATACAGATTCTCTACTTTGTTGTGCCGTCCCCACGCGGCGCTTTTCCCCCAACCTTTGCGCCGGTAATTGTGGATGGGTGCGCGCATGGTACTGTGGGCTTGGAAAGGACAATATTTAGCTCAGGTTTTAAGTACTAGAAAGTAGAAAGGGGGAGAAAAGGTCCGTAGAATCACACTGCTTGTTGGGTTGGTGTTGTGGCCCCTTGTACCCTTGTAGGATATCACTTATATGGAACTTGTATGTCACTATTGTGGCGTTCGTTCGATGAAAATGCTATTCATATTGTACTGTGTTCCAAGACACGAGAGATAGAGCCAAGTAGACTCACCAGCTCGGAGTATCGAACTCGGGACTTCTCATATTTTTTTTGTTTATTGGGGAACCGCAATCTGTACCCTTACCATCTAGTGGTGGTTTAGGTTTATCACTGTTGCTGTTAGTACAATTTCATTTGTGCGACAGTGTGGTATATTGGAATTGTGTTATGAATTCACCTATTACAAAAAGAGATTACAAGTCAGTGATCAAGAGCATTTACTTTTGCATTTGAGGTTGACTCTTCCAAATATTAAAAACTTAATACTAAATCATAAATAGTGAATAATTTGTGTAAATTTATTGTAACAGATGATTATGTTTGGTGTAGTGGGTTAAAAAATAGAATGTAATGTTTATACTTATATACATCAATTGTCCCACATTATCTACGAGATTATGAAATCAGATATACTCAATTTGGAGTTACTGAAGGCGAGATAGAGTGGATGAATGTTAAAAAATTTGTTCAACTCTAAAATCCTTAAAAAGTATTACACACTTTAATGCCACATCAACATATCACATGATACGAACAATTCTGCCACACTAAAATTAACCTTTTCTTTTTCATATTAAGGTTCATTTGCTCTTCTTATTGTTCAAAAGCATTGGGGTTTGATTGAAATTGATTTCAAAATGACTGAAAGCTACTTTGGAGAATGCATTTTTGGGTTTCAAAAAGTAGTTAAAGTGCTTTTCAAAAGTAGACCAGCCACCATATACGACGACGCTACGTGTTCAATCCACACAGCTGTCGACGCCCACTGCCACCTACGTCCACGTTCCACACAGTCCATCAAATTCCTTAATTAAAACCCTAAACCATGTCATCCGTCTCTGCAATCTCCTCCTCCCTCTTAAAACGAACCATCCCGTTTTGTTCATCCGCGGCTACTACTACCCTAGCCACGACAGGAAACGGGGCTACACAGTTTCTATTCCTCAAAAAACCCATATTCCCCTCAGCATCTCATCTCCTAGCCCCTGCCCTACCCGACCCGCCCGACCAGCCTTCTACTCTTCCTGAGCTCCCTGGAATTTCCACCTCTCCAGAAGTAGACTCGACTACTACTATACTACCTGAAGTCAGACCATATCCTCCACCACTAGAGCCCGGTCCAAACCCGGGTCCGGATTTTCCGGTACCTCCCTTGAACCGGCCTCTTGTGCCTGATATTCCGCCACGTTTTCCTGATAACCCACTCCCTAATCCCGGTATACTGCCGCCACAGCCACCTGATGTCGTACCTCCGCCTCCCCCGGGGCCTGAGATTATACCTCCTCAAGCTCCACCGCCACCACCAACTGGCCCGGGCGGGCGTATTGTTGTCTAGGTTGTGAATCAAGTTTTCAAATTTGACGGGAAATTTTGGATGTATGTAGAAACAATCTACTTGTTCTATTACTAAAAAATTTGGTTTCTTGTTTTTTTTTATTTTTTATATTTATTGGACAAATGAAAGAATTTTTCGTCTTGAAGCTAATTTTGATCACCTCACGATATACGATGAACGTATATAATTAAAAAAGGAGAGGATCCTCATCCCCAACTAAATGCATCACCTTGGATTTATTATCTTAACGTTGAATGTTTTGTTGGTGACAAAGATACCCTTTTCAATAAATAAAAAATAAATATTTTTTTTTATTAAATGCATTATTTGATCAAGTTATACCTTTTGAATTTAGAAAGTTTGCATGTCACCGTAAAATGTAAGGAAAATTAATGAAAATTGCTTGAAAACTTTGAGTTTTAACGTTAAGGATAAAATAAAAGATAAAGTGAATAGTATCATGATTGACTTTTTAGGGTAAAAATATGGTTATTTGTTAAAATGAACAGTATTAGGAGTTTTTCGTTAAAGTTCCCTAAAATGTATTAAGGTAAAGCTAAAATGTCTTTTAAAAATCAACAGACAAAACTAAAATATTATCTGCATCACCTTTGCGACAGGTATCCAAACTTATAACTTTTATATACACGTTACCTACATATTCAATATCAAACTCATTTAAACTACCACATGATGGCCTAGTGGTTAGGGACGAATTTCAGGCTGTATTTCACACAACATGTCCTGGATTCGATTCTTGGCACTGGTGAATCATATGATGGTGGTCATCAGGAGGTTGAAATGCCTCCGTGAGTCTTCTCGACCCCTGAAAAGTCAACTACCGTGGCAAAGTCACCAACTGGTCCTTTTTTAATAATAATAAATATATATATATATATATATATATATATATATATATATCAAACTGATCATCCACACTGCCTACATGTTTGGTATCAAATTCATCCACATTACCTACACATTTGATACTCAAACACATCCACATTACCTATGCATCGGTTTCAAACCCATCTACATTACCTACACATTGGTATCAAACTCATCCATATTACCTACACATTATGTATCAAACTCATCCACATTACCAATATGTAAGTGTTTGGACCCAAAATAATATTTTGGGCTGAGCCCATGATTGTTCTCGGTCCAGTAAGAAGTATTAGGAATATTCCCACCTTAGTCCTGGCCTAGTAGAGTTCGCCTGAATCCTATCAGAAGATGGTTCCAGTTGGATAAGAGTGAAGTGGTCGAATCCTAGTACAATAAGGATTCTTCAGAAGCTAAGGATGCTTCGAATCATAAAAGATGCTGAGAGTCAAGGGTTGAATATGAGTGATTAAAGAGCTTGGTTCAGAATCCTATAAGAGTTAGAATGGGCCGAGACTATTCAGATTGGGTTAAGTGAAACTCTACCTCAGGCATTGAGGAAATTGCTACTATAAATAGAGAAAGGAGTGCATCATTCAAGGCCCCCTCCAAATCAACACAAAACTGCCTTACGCAAACTCTCGCTTTACGCAAAACCTCTCAAAGACCTTGAGATTTTTATTTTCCTTTTTCCTACCAACACACTTTCAATTTGGATAAACAACACTGTGGTAGCAACCGGCAACATCTTTAGCTTGGATAAACAACACTGGAGCCGTAAAACTAGGCGAGGAGGAGCACCTTCAGTTTGGATAAACAACACTGCTTTGAAACCGACTAGTTATCTATCCAAGTCTCGGTCAACAAGGATTTCTGAGTCTTTGTTGGAAGAGGTCATCTCATCAGCCTCCTCGTGCGAAGTGAGGTGTTACCAGGTTACTATATTCGGCACACTGAAAGTCAAATTTGATATTGAACTTCATAGAACTAGCAGCCTTGTCTTCATACTCTAGAACCCGAAGGCTGAGACGTGTTCCTTTCTCGATTGCAATTGCAAGATCAAGAAGTCAATAGCGCACCCAACACCACATCAACATTCATTCACTCCCTAGCCGAACTCGATCAACAAGTTGGCATGGCCCACATTCGAGTGAATGACATAATTAGCTTATTATTTATTTGGCTTATGCGCCACGTAGGCTAAGTACTTTTTAGGGTCAATAGTAAAACTCAAAAATAATATTTTTAAGCTAAAAATCTTTTTTCACACAAATACCTTAAATTAGAAAAGTAATGGTTGTCAAAAAAATTGTATAGAGTAAAATAGGCACGGATCTCGTGAAAATGAGAGGTTTTACGTTCGAATCTTGTGGATGACAAATTCAATATCAAATTAGGTTGTCTATTGTGTGGTTTTGCTGAATTCCTCATTCCCTTACTATAAAAGTATCGATGTACTTAAAAAAAAAAAGCACGAATCAAAATGAAAAATGATAACCCTAACTATTAATTGGCATCATCGTTAGTTTTTAATATAAGAAGATACTCAAAGAATTTTTGGATTTTTCTAAAATATTCTAATGAGATTGGGGTAAAATCTATTTTCCTATAAAATATTTGAAACAGAGACGTTCCGAGACTTCTGGGTTTTTTAATCCAACGCCAGGATTTGGATTCTATTCGGATCCAAATTGTGGGAATTTTAAGGATCTTTACCTTTTAACCGTTCATCGTGCATCGTGCGATAAAAAAATATTTAAATTTTTTAATTTAAAATTAAACACAAATAGAAACAGATGAAAATTAACTACATAATGTACGATAAACTACTAATATATAGGAATGCTTGCTTGGGATCCCAACAAAATGAATTGGGAGAGAATCCTCTTTCCAATGGCAGCATCCTTAAGAGCAATTCCACCGGGATAAAAATGTCCCAGCCCTCAGTCCAAAAAACAAGCTGGCCCTCAGTCCATTTGCTCCAGCCCGTGGAGTTGACCTAGCACCCAGCCCATGCCAGGCAACAGCCCAGCACGTTTTGGACTGACCAAGAAGCTGGCCTGTTTCTCAGGCGCGTGCAACACAAGCGCGCAAGGCACGAGTGGGTTTCAGGCTTTCTTGAAAATGTGTTAGCCCACTTGGGCTCAGCGACGTGGCGTTATGATAGCCGTTGGATTTCCAACGGCTAGTTTTTCTAGACCGTTGGATTTCCAACGGTAAAAAAGATTTAAATTTTACTTTTAAAATAGACCGTCCGATCATAAATCAACGGTCTACGTTAATTAACTAAATTAAAATTTATTAAAAAATACAGAAAATTTTAAAAAATTTATTTATTTTTTCTATAAATACCTAACTCTCATCTTGCACCTTACACCACATTTCAATATTTTCTACACTTTCTACCAAAGCTTTCATATACTTTTTGTGTGAAAAAAAAATACCAAAAAGCTTGTGGTTGAAGAATAAAGTGTATTTGATGAGTTTATGTAATTTCATTTTAGTGTGTTTTTTTTATAGTTTATTTGATGAGTATGTAATTTTATTTTAGTGTGTATTTTTTTTAAGTTTATTTGAAATTTTATCTGAAATTGGTTAAAAATCTTATCCAAAATAAACTTAAAAAAAAAAAAACACACCAAATAAATGCGCTGGGTGCCAGCGCATTTTTTTAGGGGTAGAGATGCCTTAGCCTATTACTGTTCACTCCAGTCTATTACTGTTCACTTGAGTGGATAAATACGCTGGGTGCTGGCGCAAAGTCCTTAGGGGTGAAATTGCTCTAACCGTCACGCACCGTCCCTCTCTCTTCCTTTTGCGCCACGTGTCCACTAACCCATCAACTAGGATTTGGGTAAATCCGTTACAACCAGCGCATCCCAAACCTTCCTCTAATCATCTTCCAAAAACAAAAAAACAAACCTTCCTCTAATCTCACGGCACCTTTTCCCTCCTTTTCAAAAAGCTTAAAAAAAATTTAAAATTAAAATTAAAGAAAATAAAAAAACACTTGAAATATCCACCGCCACTTCGCTCTTCTTCTCTAGTAACTGAAGTCGCCTCACTCACTCACAACATTCTCCGCCAACAGCTTTCCCCGCCACCGCACGAGATGGCGTCTCAGCTCGGCGCCTGTGCTCCACGCGCCGCTCATTTCTACCTCCACAAACACAGACAACCGCTCATTCTTCCGCTAGAATTCTGCCAAACGGGACCGTTTCAGGGAGCCAGAATTACCGGCAGGGGAAGTCTGCGGATTAGGGTTTCCGATGGCGGGGACTCGTTCCTCGGAATGTGGAAGAAGGCCGTCGAGAACGACAAGAAGGTCGCCGAGTTCGAAAGGATCGTCGATAACTCTGCTAAAATCGAGGTTGATGATCAGAGTATCGAGCCCGTTGAGGAATTGGAGAAGAAGAGCGAGGAGTTCCAGAAGATTCTGGAGGTTTCGAAGGAGGAGAGGGACCGGGTGCAGCGAATGCAGGTTGTTGATCGAGCTGCGGCCGCGATCGCGGCGGCTCGCGCCATTTTGGAGGACAAGAAGAAGGAATTGAGGACCGAGGCGGGGGATCGCGGCGGTTTGGGTGGTGGGAGTGGCGGAACAATTGGGGCTCGTCAAGAAGGTAAAGATGTGGACAATGTGTCTGATTTTATTTTGGGAATTTGAATTTCTGATTGTTTAAATATTGGATTTTGGATGCTGATGGGATTATTGTTTCGCGGAGAAGGCATTATATGAGATTGTAAAGTTAGAGTTGTGAATTTGTAACATATGTTGGCATTGGATAATAGGAGGATATACACCCTGCATTTTGTTTGTCATGGATATTAAAAAGTTTTTAGTTCCAACAGGAGCGCAGATTAGGAGTGTAGTTGTTCCAGTGCCTCAATCGGAAATTTCAGGAACCGGGACTCCAGGTCCTGATTTTTGGTCATGGGAACCCCCTCAGGGTAGTGATAAAGGTTCAGATGGTGTCATCAGCTACCTGCCGACAGCGAAGAAAACTTCAGCACTGTCGATTTTAAGCAATCCGGTCTTAGAGAAACAAGGATCTGTAGATTATCTCTCAATCCCCTTAGAGAGTAAGCTTCAAGAACCCAATCGAAACCCTCCTCTTCCCCCTTTACAGTCACTGATGGAGGTTGAGAAAGTGGACGTCTCAGAGGCACCTTCCTTGAAAGAGGAACATGAACTTGGTGATGAATTTTCAGCACTTGCAGCAGAGGCAGCTCGGGCTCTTGATGCATATGGAGAAAACTGCAGACAAGTGGGGAAAGAATGGTAGAGGCGATGAGTGGCACGAGAAATGGAAGGAACATTATGATGCCTCAGGCCAGGCAGAGAAATGGGCTCATAAGTGGTGCGGTATTGACCCAAACACACCCCTTGAGGCTGGCCATGCTCATATTTGGCACGAAAGGTACCAAAACTTTGAATAACCGTTCGATGCCATGTCCGGTAGCACTCTCATTTATTCCTGCCCTCTGGTCAAATTGACAAACAATTTGAAAGTCGTCTATATGGCACTAGATTTCAAGAAATTGAATATTCCTGCAGCTTTTTCAATCAACCTGCCCTGATCTCATGATAAAACTGAACGATTTGCATCTGTTGCAGGTGGGGCGAAAAGTATGATGGACATGGTGGCAGCGACAAATACACTGACAAATGGGCTGAGCGCTGCGAGGGTGACGGCTGGGCAAAATGGGGTGACAAATGGGATGAACATTTCGACCCAAATGGTCACGGCGTGAAGCAGGGGGAAACATGGTGGGAAGGTAAGTTTGGAGACCGCTGGAACCGGACATGGGGCGAGGGCCACAATGGTACCGGCTGGGTTCACAAGTATGGCAAGAGCAGCAGCGGGGAGCACTGGGATACGCACGAGCAGCAAGACACATGGTATGAAAGGTTCCCTCACTTTGGCTTTTACCACTGCTTCGAAAACTCAGTCAAGCTCCGGGAAGTTCCTAAGCCATCGGAGATGTCATAGATTATCGTCTGTGTAAACTGCAAAGGCCATCTATAATTTTATATACATAATCGTCAATTTCCGTTACCTAAATAATGAATGTAGTTATACTCTGGTACTATAGCATAATAGCCTGCGCAATGCTGCGGGTTTTAAAACTTTGTTAAATGTCCGTATCAAAATCTATTTACATCCCTATGTTCTATAAAGAACAAATCATACGGAAAAATTATCTTATTCACATCCATATAGTTACAATACACAAAAAATATCTTGTTTTCTATGTCCCAAACTTTTCACATTGTTGTTTAGTACTTTGACTCCTCTCTTCTTTGCTGCTAAAGAGATGTTTTTCTTGTACCACGCATGGGATTTTTAAAAATGGATCGAAACTAACATGCGATGAAGAACTTGTGTGTTTCACTTGCTTATTGATTGGGTTACAATCTCAGCATGAGAAAAGCATTCCATGATCTGAATAAAAAACGTAGTTAAGAAAAGAAAGAAGCTCATTACTTTGCTTCCATTGCTGGTTGTGAATTTACTCATAATACCAATTGGATGAAAAGGTATTAATTCATGAATTGTAGGAAAGGAGACAACAAATGCAAAGGTTATTTTGTATATGTATTAAACGAAACCCACAAAAGGGATTGAAGTTCCTCCTATTCTGCAAGTACATAAAGATTAGAACTCACCACTTGAAATGTCTCTAGCAATCTCCCGAGTTTTTCCCGAGTTCTTCATCAGTCACTCCATCAAACATTATGTATTCCATGAAGATTTTTTGTTGACTGCAGAATCAGATAAAAGGGATATAGTGAGATCACTATGGAGCTTTTTGATAGCATGAATAATGCCGACCCACATAAGATTAGATGCGCAACTGACAGAGTAGTAAGCCAAATGTTTCTAGCAATTGCAAACTACATCATTACTTATGCAACTATGATTCACCCACATTCAATGAAAGAAGCGAAAGAGTACTTCGTCCTACCTAATTTACTAAGATCCACAAAGTCTAAAAACTACAAAATTTCGATTATAGAATCTAACAAAATAGCATGAGAAAGTTACTAAGATAACACCATATCTGAATGTTTTTGCAGATAAAAACATCTTTAGACATAATGGCAGTTTTTAATGCCTACCGTCGACAATAATTTTCATTGGCGATAGGTGAAATAGTGATCCAGTCATGACATGAATTGCTTCAATTAAGTAACCATATTTATTCAAAGGTTCTCCCATTCCTTGAAAAAAATACACAAAATCAAAGTATTCAACATTTCAATGGTTCCCATATTTCTTCCATACGCACACCATTCAATAACAACCGCAAATGTGAGAATTTGGAAAAGGATCAAAGGATCAGGGTCACCTTGGGCACAGCTCCAGTTTAAACTCTCCGTCCACAGGCTCCGCCGGCATATCTATAGCAGCAACAACAACAATCATCTTTCAGAGTCCTCTGGCCGACTCATTTCTCCTTGTTGCTACACAACAAAAGATTAGCTCAATTAGCACAAACAATCAAACGAAACCCAATTTTCAAGTATTCAATTATTTCAAACTTAATAGTTGAAGTAACTTAAGAAAATTTTAAAGTATCAATTGGTAAAGTTAAACCAAACAAAGGAGAGAGAGCTAATTTTCTGTTTGGTTACTTAGAAAATGAAGGAAAATATAATCTTGACCTTTTGAGATAGGCTAAACAAATTCAAAAACCCACTCCCCATGCAATCACTAAAACCGATTAAACTGGTTCAAAAGAACCGGTTTCCACAACCACTTCGAAAATCAGCAAAAATAAAACAAAAAATTCAGAGCTATTTCTCAAAACTTTAACTCCCAAAATCTCAAACTATTTCTAGCCGATAACCTTTTTCGAAACGCTAAAAATCACAGATCAGAGGTACTTACTCGTTGTAGGTGAAGCAGAACCAATTTGTACAAATTACAATCACACAAAACAAAATTCTAACACAAAATATTTTCAAAAGCTTTATAGAACAAAGTATTACAAATTAAAGAAAAGAAATAAGAAGAATAAAGAAAGAGGAGAGTGGAGGAGTAGGAACGGGGAGAGGAGGAGTGAAGGGAACCGAGGAAGCAGAAGAGCCATGTGGGAAATTGAAAGATAACAACCTTTGGGTGTCGAAAATTCGCCAGAAAGGAAAGAAATTAGTCATACCCAACCACTGAAATGGCAGCTCGAGCTTAGGATGCAGCATCTATAGACCTCAAAGGTGCTTCTACCGATCTCAATTTCCCTGAATTGGCTCAAGAACTTCCCCGATCAGACTCCCTGCTTCCCATGGACATCGTGGTTGCAGATTCGGCTTCCGAGGAAAATTGCGTGTGAATTTAACAAAACTTGAGTGTGCTTTTGCAGAGATCAAAGGGAAGTAGTAAAAAGGAAAGACCCACCTTTTCCCCCTAATTTTTGAAGGTACATATATACTCATATTAAAAAAGGAGCTGCCGCACCTGATGGTGGTGGTGGTTCCCGCTGTAGGAGAGAGTTGGAGAAACAGGGCTCTGGCTTTTTGGTTGACAGAACAACATATGAATCAAAGCAGTAGTGGATTGAGTAAGAGGAAGGAAGATAGAGGGTAAACGCAGCAGCGGTGGAGGAGCGGTCGACGGTACTCGCTGTCAATAGGAGCCAACGATAGCTGAATAATGGAATAACAGATGACCAACACGTATCCACCATATTAGTCATTTTACTGAAACCATCCGTTTAACTAGTGACTGCATGCAAAGGCCAAAGTATGACTCTCATTGTACAGTTTTAGACGTCCGTCAAATTTTTCAGTTAAATTAAGAGTAAATTATAGCAATGATCATTCAACTTTAATTTAATTAGAGGAATGATTATTTAACTAAAAATTCATTACTATTGGTCCCTTAACTTTAATCAAACTAGAGAAATAGTCCCTCAACTTAAACCCGATTGTAGTAATGATCATTCCAATATAACTTATTTTAACAAAATTTTGATGAAGTCAACGAAAATGACCATAACTACATGTTTTGATAAGTTGACATAAACCCGATTGTAGTAATGATCATTCCAACATAACTTATTTTGACAAAATTTTGATGAAGTTAACGAAAATGACCATAATCACATGTTTTGATAAGTTGAGGTACTCCAATTGTAGTAATGGTCATAACTCGTTTTGACAAAATTTTGAAGAAGTTGACAAAAATGACCATAACTACACATTTTGATGAATTGATGGATTAATGATAATGATTTTTTAGTTGATGGACCATTGTTCCAATTTAATTAAAATTAAAGAATTATTGCTACAATTTACTCTTGAATTAGCTGATCAGATATACACGTTACTGTTTTTACACCTTTTGGAAGTCAAATATGCCACTATCTAACTAACAATGGTCAAAAGTTAAATGGATAAATTTTAGAAAATTTTAACGAAAAATCCACGGTACTGTTCATCTTAACGAAAAATCACATTTTTACACTAAAAAGTCAAACATGATACTATTTATTTTACCATTTATTTTATCCTTATAATTAAAACTCAAAGTTTTCAAACTATTTTTATTAGTTTTCTTAAATTTTACTTATCATGATTTGTCCCTATGAAAATGTTACAAGGCTCGCAACCACCACCCCTCGTCTCGTCTATGAGGCACAAAACGCTTCGTGTCATAATATGCCAAAAGAGAATAATACGTCGCCGTTTTGGCCTTTTTACCTGATAGGGATAGGCACCACCACCGGTACTGCCGCAACATGTGGTGCGCATTCAACCGAGGGTCGCACACTGACACAAGTACACTCTCTGCCTGTAATCTTCGCCTCCGCACAACACACATACGTGGGTTGGTAAGCCCTTCCAATTTCCCAATCCTTTCCTTTCTCAATTTTTGCATATATGAATTCCCACTATTCCAATTACCAGGAGTTGACTGTGTTTGCTGCTTGCGTTCCCATTTCACTGTAAATCTCAATCCTCACTGCCATTTTTCACCTTAGTTTCCAGTAATCAGCGAGAAAAGGTGTAAATTTACCTGTTTAAATTTGTGGGTTTTCGTTCTTTTACCGTATAATGGCGATTTCGATGCTTTACGGAGCTCAGAATCTCAAACTTGTCAATGGAATAATAGCAGTAACACCAAGTGGGTTAGGTTCTGGTGGGAAAAATTACCCTTATGGGGGTTTTTCCCAGAAGGGTTTAGTGAGCTATGGCGGTAGGAGTCAAAAGACCAGAACTTTAGTGGGACCCATATGCAGTGTATCATCCTCAAGGCCTGCTTCCCAGCCTAGGTTCATACAGCACAAGCAGGAGGCTTTCTGGTTCTATAGGTTTTTGTCTATAGTGTATGATCATGTTATAAACCCTGGGCATTGGACTGAGGATATGCGGGATGATGCGCTCGAGCCCGCTGAACTTTACGATAGGAATATGGTGGTGGTGGATGTTGGAGGTGGAACTGGGTTTACGACTCTTGGCATTGTTAAGCATGTGGATGCCAAGAATGTGACCATTCTTGACCAATCGCCGCACCAACTTGCCAAGGCTAAGGAGAAGGAGCCCTTGAAAGAATGCAAGATAGTTGAAGGGGATGCCGAGGATCTGCCGTTCCCAACTGATTACGCGGATCGATATGTCTCTGCTGGGAGGTACAATATCTGCTTGTTTTGCTTCCTGTAATCAGTGTAATGAGTTTGCATTTAAAGGAATTTCAAAGTGTAATGTGTTTGCATTTAAAGGAATGTCCATTGGGGTTTTTAGCAGTGGGGTTATTTATTTGAAGTTCAGGTGCAGAAATGTATCATAAAGAACGAGTTTTGTCATTGGAACTTTGATCGTATCCTAAATTTGGCTCAGGTTATTATCGCTTAGTTCAAATTTCATTGAGGTGAATGAGAAGAAGTGATATGCTGGTTTTGTGGTTAATCTTAATTAACGAAAGCATTCGTACTTATCTTTAAAGAACAATTTAAGGGAGTATTACTTTTTACAATTCTTGAAACTTAGGGTATTCCACTACAAAGCATATATTCACAGTGATGGGGCTGTAATATTATACAAATTGGTAGTCTATATACCGCTGTTAATTCTCTTTGTCTTATGCAATTTCAATATTTTGTTTCCCAGTATTGAGTACTGGCCAGACCCACAGCGTGGAATCAAGGAAGCATATAGGGTACTAAAAATAGGAGGAAGGGCTTGCCTTATAGGCCCTGTGCACCCAACCTTTTGGCTGTCTCGTTTCTTTGCAGACGTGTGGATGCTCTTCCCAAAGGAGGAAGAGTACATTGAGTGGTTCAAAAATGCTGGTTTCAAAGATGTTCAACTGAAAAGAATTGGTCCAAAATGGTACCGTGGTGTCCGCCGCCATGGCTTGATCATGGGTTGCTCTGTGACAGGTGTTAAGCCCGTCTCTGGGGACTCCCCTCTCCAGGTAATATATTTCTTTATCCATGATAGATTTCTATGTTCCGTGGATTATGTTGGAGTCTCTTTTTATGGCGAACGAAACTCTTATTGGTTGATTAATGTCTCGACCCTCACATGTCTATAGCATTGGAATAACAATTTAGGGTTGTGTAAAGAATTTACTTTATCCAAGAAATCATCGCTAACTATAAAATAGCTCATCAACTAGCAGAAGACAGAAAATTCTGCTTGATTTTTTTGTCATATCAAATGGCATGCAGTCCAATAAATAATTCTTCCAATTCAAATTAGAGACTTGCTTGTTGCTACACTTTTGAAATATTTTGTCTAGAGGCATTGTTATTCAACTTTTGAGCTGGCAACTTAAGAATGAAGTTTGTTCCAGAGAAGGTAATATGGCATGGTTTCTGCATATTAACGAACACCCTGATACATGTTATTTTTTAATCTTTATTTTTACGAGGATTTCTCTTATTTCTGATGCCATGTTTGGATACATTGACCTTTCCATGTTATTGTTTTCTTAAAACTGCGTATACATTTTTGTTTTAATATTTGTTTACAAATTCTTTTGGAAATTAAACACGACTATAGTGATTGGTTGTGGTACAAGAAATGATTTGGTCATGGCTATGGAGGTGGCTGCAAGAATTTCATTGGAGTTTTTTTACTCTTATTTTTTTCACAGTTGTTTCAAAATTATACTAGAAACAGTGAAATATGCTGGAAGTTAAACACAAGTATATAAATTTTTGTGTGGTGGGTGAGGTTATGGTGGTCGGTTCTTGTACTAGCTACGAGTGACAGTGCATAACAATGGTGGTGGTTGTGACATAAGTGGTGATGCTGGTGGAAATAGTAATGGCAGGTGTGACTCTGGGCAGCCATGACCGTGCTTGAATTAGCGGAAAGGGTGATGTTGGTGATGGTGTTCTAGCCGTTGTGGTAAAGGTATTAGTGGTGACAACCGACAAATAGTAGTGGTGGTGTTGGCGACAACACTGGCTGTGGTTCATTTTAGAAGCAAAAGCAGAAAACAGGAGGAAGCAATACTACTTAATGCTATCTAATAAGATTTTAGTTCAAAAGCAAATTTGGGGACACTTAAGTTTGTGAGTCGTTATAGGCGAGGACCATTTAATCAGAAGATGCTCATCTACTCTATTGAGGGTTTACTCGTGTACCTAGATGATATCTGTTGAAAATTAAGCAGAAAATGCAGTAGGTTTACGTAGGAGGCTTATTTTTGGTTTGATAGATATACTTCCTCGTATTTATTTGATGTTTGCTTTGGTGCCAGCTTGGTCCAAAGGTGGAGGATGTCAGGAAGCCTGTGAATCCATTGGTGTTTCTTTTTCGGCTCATTCTCGGTGCAACTGCAGGAGCTTACTATGTGCTGGTTCCAATTTACATGTGGATTAAAGATCAAATTGTTCCGAAGGGCCAGCCTATCTGAAACAGGAGTTACAAAATGTGAGGGATTATCAGCAATTCCTACGGTTTGATCCCTTGTTTTCCCTTTTTTCGGTGAAGCTAGCCAGTTAAGATAATCTGTTTCATTTGACAAACGCACGTCTGTGAATTTGTGCTGCGGAGGACGCACCTTTACCGCATAAGTTTTTTGGAATTGTGTTGAACAAGTGACTTAGTTGATCCGTAATTTCGTGTTGCTTTTATGTCATAACATTTCGTTTTAAAATGTTGGAAGGTGTCAATGCTTTTAGCCGGAAGATGATGAACAAACTTGAAGTGTTAGTCGATGGAAGTTGGGTTTTGAGGTAATCAAAATTTGACTTCTCGAAGAATACGATAGAAAAAGAACAAAGAAACATTCAACCCCAAATTTTAAACTAACAAAGAAACATTCAACCCCAAATTTTAAGACCAAATTTCAATGGCAACTTCACTCAAAGGATGATGCTACAGCTGCTTGGTAGGAGCATTCAGTTTTTAAGACTAAATTCCCAGATGTCACTAAGCCTTCCACATTCAAGCCTCATTTCATTGAGGTATTTTTCAGTGTGCTAGAAATACGGCTTGTTATACAAAGTGTAATAATACAATTAGTTGGGATTTTTTTTTTCAAATTTTCAACCAATTGTATTTGTTTACTTGATATACTTGGCCGTGTTTTTGGTGTACTAATTTTTTTTATAATGTCACATGTCAGCATCATATCAATGGGAATTGTAACTAGATTTTTTTTTGGTGGTTGTTTAGGACTCATTTGGCAAGTGCTTTTAAATGACTAAAAGCACTTTTAAGTAAAATATTTTTGAGTTATAAAAACACTTGGAAGTGTTTTTTTGCTAAAAACATTAGAAATGTGCTTCTTACTAGAAGCACTTCAAGTATTTTTTTACAATTAATTTGCATTTTAGTAAAATTTAGTTTTAAAAATATTTTATCAAAAATCAAATTCAGTTGTTTAAAAGAACGTACTAACGAGCCCTTAGTTGGGAGAAGTGGGTTAGGCCATCTTCAACCGAAGGGTCTAAAGGGTTTGAGGGCTGAAAATAGCTTGAAAACCGTCTCCAACCGAGGGCTAGGCCAGAGGGCTCTGGAATCTGGGAGCGCCCCACGGAATCGGAGAGGGCTGTAAGGCTAGAGGGAGCCAGCCCGGGGCTGGCCATTTTTTTTTTAATGTTTTGTTATTTCTATCGATTATAGTCGACATAAATAATATACACTATATTATTAGTGTTGGTTATAACCGACACTAATAGCAATGTTAATATAATATCAGTTTGAACAGTGTTGGTTAAAACCGACACTAATTTGAATTCTAATTTGAATTCCAACGGCTAGCCAGTCACTAGTTGTTGTATTCAATTTTTAAAAATTTTTTTTTTATGAATTTAAACCTTTTTTTTTCTATAACTTCCTATAACTTATATTTTACAAAATTTGGTTCATATTTTTTTCCGTATAACTTCTATTTTACAAAATTTGTTTCATATTTTTTTTAAATTCCATTTTTTTCCTATAACTTTTATTTTACAAAATTTGTTTCATATTTTTTTTAAATTCCATTTTTTTTCCTATAATTTCTATTTCACAAAATTTGTTTCATATTTTTTTTAAATTCTATTTTTTTCCTATAACTTCTATTTCACAAAATTTGTTTCATATTTTTTTTAAATTTCATTTTTTTTCCTATAACTTCTACTTCACAAAATTTGTTTTATATATTTTTTTAAATTCTATTTTTTTCCTATAACTTCTAGTTCACAAAATTTGTTTCATATTTTTTTTTCATATAACTTCCTAAGCCATTATACAACATTAAATTAAATTAAGTAACATGAAACAACATTAAATAATATGAAACAACATTAAATAACATTAACCAACATAAAAATTATACAACATGAAACTTAAACAACATTTTTAAAAACATAAAACATAAATGCCTATTCCATGCTTCTTTGGGCCCAAAGATGTGCAACAAGATCTTGTTGTAGGTACTTGTTTGTGGCACGAGAACGTATCATTCTATAGCGCCTCATGTACTTATCTATAAAGATACTACCAGTTCTTGGACTGACGTTACTTAGCCATTGGATTTGAATTTAAGTTGTAGTTTTTAAATAATAAATTATGTTTGGCCCTATGACCCTTTGACCCTCGGTTGGAGACAGAGGCAAATATAGCCCTGTACTGTTAATTAAAATATTAATATCTTAGAGAATCTTGGAGGGTCAAAGGGCTAAAACGAGCCATCTGATCAGCCATTGGTTGGAGATGACCTTACTTCCTTTGGCGACGAAGGATATGAATTGTATAAGTTGTTGAGTCAATCAATAAAAGTTACTTCCTTCACATCCGAGTGAAAGCTGACACGTGGCATCATATCGACTGCATCTGATGTGTTGTTTTTCAATTCGCCGTACCACGATTTCGATCGTAAAATAAAGGAGTGACATGTGTGATAAGGGTTATGTTGAACCTTTATTATTATTATTATTATTATTATTATTATTTTGTAAGAGGGTTATGTTGAACTTGAATGCTATGCTTTCAGTTATATATAATTCATTTATTTAACGAAGCATGTTCCTTGAAAAGGACCAAATTCGAATAAGCTTTCCAAAACTGCAAAGGACAAAAAATAAGGAACATGCAACTAGAGATCCAGTAATAAAAGGTGGATTACGAGGTTTTTAAAAAATAAAAAACTAGAGGTTTCGGGTTTAAAACCCGCTGTTGATGTAGAAACCAGACTTGTGGTAAGGAAAATGCTGAAATGTCTTTATGAGTTTTTCCGATCCCCAAAAAAGGTAGAAAATCGAACTTATCACCTTGTCTCCCTTCTTAAAATAAAAGAAAAAAATAAGAAAAGCAAAACATACCATAAAATGCAGATACCATCCATGTAAACGCCTTGAAAATACCGAGTACCATTACCAGTATTTTGTGTTCTAATTAAGTAGTGCTACTGCTACCGAACTTGTGGCTCGCATCTTTTTGTTATACTTTTTTGGCCTTTATTATTTATAAAATAATTCAAACCGTTTATTTTTTAGATTATATAAAAATCAACTCTAAAAAAGTCAAAACAAATATGAACTTGTTTATTCATCTGAACAAAAAAAATAAACAACCCAAATCGAATCGAATGAGAGAGAAAGCTGAAAAAATAAAACGAAAAAGACATAAATAAGAAAGCTGTTACTCTCTCTCTCTCGTAGTGTCGGGCTCCTCGTGCAGGCAAGCAACGCAGCGTGCTTTTTGGGGCTGGAAAATTTGAATGTGGGAGCAATTTACACACCTTCCCATATCCTCAGCGTCCTACTCTCTGAACGCCTTGTGTGTCTCAAACGGACAAGGATTGTTTGCTCTCTTTGTTCCCGTGCCTTTTTATACATTTCTGTTTGTGTGGTTACGGTTAAGTCATGTTAACATTTTATATTACTATTTATTTTTGTCTTATTATCTCTATAAAAAAATTAATATAAAATATTGATATGACTTAATTGTAACCACACAAAATAGAAATGCACGAGAACAAGAAGAGCAGATAATCTTTGTCCCTCCCAAACATCAAACCCTTACAGCTGTCCTTTCTTATATTTATTCATTTACAGTGAAGCAGCTACATATCTGCTCTAAAACTTTCTAGGGCTATATGTGTGACTACCATATTTTATATTTTATAGGACCATGGTTTGGATGATTTCAAATAGGCATATTTTGTAAGACAACACCTAAAAATAAACAGTTAAATTGTTAATATATATATATATATATTTTTTTTTTTTGTTTGCTTCCCTTTCACCAAGTTCCATGTAGAAACTAGGAAAAAAAGCTAAAGATTTGGAAGTCATATGATTCTTTTTAATAAAGCCAAGACTGTAACAACAAATTCCAGTCATGCATATAAGCCTTTGATTGGATGATTTCAAATAGGCATATTTTGTAAGACAACACCTAAAAATAAACAGTTAAATTGTTAATATATATATATTTTTTTTTGTTTGCTACCCTTTCACCAAGTTCCATGTAGAAACTAGGAAAAAAAGCTAAAGATTTGGAAGTCATATGATTCTTTTTAATAAAGCCAAGACTGTAACAACAAATTCCAGTCATGCATATAAGCCTTTGATTTGACCACCCTTTTTAAATTTTACTTCTTCTTCTTCTTCTTCTTCTTCTTCTTATATTTTATTACTACTAGTTTATTAAAATATTAAACAATGAAAATATGCTCGCACTTACCTATTAATTACCCCATTGGAGGACTTCTACTTAAACCCAGCTAAGATTGAGCTATTCTCTAACTCAACATTCTCTCTCTCTCTCTCTCTCTCTCTCTCTCTCTCTCTCTCTCTCAGAACTCTTTTTCTCTCTCTAGACTTATTTGTATTTTGAAAGGCCAAGTAAAGAAGATGGCAGACGTACTAAGCGAAGAACAGATTGTTGAGTTTAAAGAAGCATTTTGTATATTTGACAAGGATGGAGATGGTGAGTTTCCTACTATCATGTCCTCCGTTCTTGGTTAGTCCTTATTCTCTATAATATATAAACATATATAACATGTTCTTGCATTAGCCAGCTTTATATAGTTTTTTTACGTTCTCAGATTTGGAAGTCCGTGCACAAAGACTAGGCGCTCGTTTGATAACTATATGAACTGGCACTGACGGAAAATATTTTGAATATGTACATGTTTTATTAGGTTGCATTACTGTGGATGAACTGGAGACGGTGATTCGGTCTCTGGATCAGAATCCGACGGAGAAGGAGCTTCAGGACATGATAAGCAAAGTGGACGTTGATGGAAATGGGACCATTGAGTTCGCAGAGTTCTTGAGCTTAATGGCAAACAAAATGAAGGTATAAAATTATATATGCATGGCACTGCAGATATATAGCTTGATTATATAAACTATAAAGATTAGTTGGTCTTAAAATGCCATATTAGTGTTCTTAATTATGTTTGTATGAATGTATATATGCATCAGGAAACTGATGCAGAGGAGGAGCTCAAAGAGGCCTTCAAAGTATTTGACAAGGATCAGAATGGATACATTTCAGCTACCGAGGTAAAACACAATATTAAAATTCCATCTCATTAATTAAATTCATACGCAACAATTCCTTTGAAAATTTTGATTAAATAGATAAAAGGTTAATTATTATCAGCTTAATTTGAATTTATCAAATAAATTCCACTGGCGATTAAGCCAGTTAGTCTAATTCTGTGAACATTTTGTTCACAAAACATGTT